ATCTTGTTACTACCTGTTCCATTCCATTCTCTGGTACTAACCATCTCTTCACCAGTTTGACTCCTCTAGCTATCCAATCAGTTGGGTCTTGATCTCTTGTCCAAACATGACTCCTGAACTTTCTTCTACATCTCTCTGTGTTGATGTTATAATGCTCCAAAATAGCTTTCTTGACTCCATCATAATCAGTAGTCAGAGGCGTATTTAGGGGGGGGGCTGAGGGGGCTTGAGCACCCCCCTCAGGGCTGGGCTCAGAAAAATTACTGAAGTCCTGGACTCTTGCATCACTACCAAGCCTCTTAACAAAGTTATCTAGCCCCCTTATCATGATTTCAGCAGTTTCCAGTGCTTTAAGGAGCAATCAGAAGTACCAGCAGGCCCGTAGCCAGGGGGGGTTCGGGGGGTTCGGACGAACCCCCTGTTGTAGCTGCAAAAAAGTTTTAGATTAGCTCCTGTCATGAAGAACAGCACTGCAAAAGCAGGATTAGCATTTTGGCAGCAGCGAGAAGCACAGGTAACCATTTTAGCTGAGTCAGCACATGGCTGAGATGCGTAACTCAAGACCACGCCTACCGACCACGCCCATTCTTGTTAAAATTTTTGCTGCACGCTTCACGCGCAGCAATTTCCGAACCCCCTGTTTCAAGTTCCTGGCTACGGCCCTGACCAGTAACATAGCAGTATGCTTGGCCCCACCCGTAATTGACGAAAATGCAGGAAAAGGCCGTTTTACCGCCGTAAAAGTGGGTGTGGCCAAAATCGCGGCGCGCTTCGCGCGCCTCAGCACCCCTCTTCTCCAAGTCCTAGATACGCCCCTGAGTAGTAGTTCCAAGATCAGTACAAACAGTTCTAGCCTTGCCACTTAGTAATGGTGTCAGACGTAGAATCCAATTTGTCCAATTCACCCCTTGTATCTTCATAATACCTTCGAATGCTTCAATGAAGTCTTGGATATCCTCTGTTTCTTGATATGGTGATATTTTCAAATGAGGACTATTCCCTTCTCTTTCTGCTAGAACTCCTTTCATAATCGCTATCTGCTGCATATGCTGCTCCTGCATGGC